AGTTAGTGTTACTTTCAGTCACACTTTTAGTCGTTCTTAGACAGCGATGTCAAATGTCTGGTTCATGGGACAAAATCTACCAGACATAATGTTTAATCTGACCTGTGGGAGACATTTTCAAGTTTCAGGTTTTGATGCTTAAAATAAGTTGTATTCAACTTCCATAACAGCACCGTCAGCGTTACAGTCACACAGTCATACATGGAAATAAAGTCATATATTAAACTTCTCCAGGAACCCCTGTCCCTGCTGCTGGTTTCTTAAGACACACCATTGCTACTTGTTTAGCCATTGGTCTTCAACGTCGTTTTCAGAGGATATTTGTTACGTTAAGGTGGTAAGAAATATAATATATGTTAAACCAGTTTAGCGCCATAGAGTAATACGTCCGATACTCATGGGTATTAACTTTGTCAATATACACACGAGGCGTTTTTAAAAGTCATATTAAAACAAGTTTGCAGGTGAAATGTTTCATTTCCTCCTCACCGCGGTAGCTGAAACTCTCTTACCTTCTTCACTCTTCTCTGACAGGAGTTTTCTCTCCGAGAGGAGCAGCAATGTCGTCCTAGCCGTACTGTCCTTAACTACTCTTAATAGCTATACTACTATTGTTATCGTTCTCTCACGCGCTTAAGTCACGACGACGGTGATGTCGTCACCAAACAAACTGGTTACTTCAGACCAATGATTGTCAGTGGGTTTTTTTCGATATTAGTGTATGACTATAAACATGACAGATATGACAGAGCTAAACATAAATGATTTACTAATTAGCACCGTAATTCAAAATAGAAAGTTGTTTTTATACTTAAAGTCTCTATGTGTTTACATTAGTGACTTTTTTTGTAGATGTTTTACTAAGAATCAGGTACTACATTACTGTCATTTTCATTTTTACAAAACAAAATTTTTGACTTTATTACAAACAAAACAACAGAATTGTTGGGTTGTATTACTGCTGCAAGAGAATTGTTCTAAAAATATGGGTTTCTCTGGAAGCACCAGCCACTTTAGGTCTGCCAGCCCTTAGTTAATTTTGTAAAGATGTTTGACTAATCAAAGTTAAAATAAAAAAAAATGAAGGAAACATTTGTTAAACCATGGAACAACAAATTTCGTCTTTCAATAATAATAATAATACGTTTAGGTTTTTAATCATAGCGTAAAATTAACATGAATTCATCAACGTATAATTTACGACTTACCACGTCCTGCTGCTGAGTCGCTCACTTTTGTAATTTGAAGTACAGTACGTCTAATTTAAGAGTTGGACTTGCTTTATTGCTTGATTCTGGTGCCCTCTTGTGGTCATATTCTTCAGATTTGTTTCTGTCTTTATATTATCTTGTCTCAAATACCTTTACGTTCCAATTTATTTTAGATTGAGAGATCGGAACTATGTATTATTGTATTGTGTATTGCATGTGTAAAAATAATTTCTGTTACATTGAAGAATTTAATGAAGCTTTTCACACATGTCAATTATAGATTTATTGCTTTAACACAAGGGATAGGGTTAGGGTTGCCAGTCCAATAACCCCATAACTGTTGAATTAATGGAGCAGGGATTCCCTGATAAATATTGTATAAAATTAGAAAACACTCTAAGTGTAAAATAAAAATTGTATCAATCAAAACAACAACAAAAAAATCAGGTCACAGGTTCACTACTCATGTACCTCTGAAGTACCACGGACCAAGGGTTTAAAGACCAGAAACACATTTTTGTTGTACTGTGTATTTTTGCATGCCACTTTATTATGAAAAGTTTGATCACAGTCACTTCATATATTGTGTATTTTTCCATTTGCGTTAATATTATTCTTTCCTTTTTAATGGATAAATGATATAAATGAAGAAATTAGCTGATGAAAGTTACTTCACCTTGATGGATTTTAAAAGTAAATGATGGGTAGTTCTTTTAATTTACATGAAACTACGTTTCTCTTTGGATGTCTTATTTCAATTTGATTTTCTTTTGCTGACATGTCAACTGTTAACTGATTTCTGATAGTTTTTTACTTTTCTGCAAACCACAAAAAAAGTACATACATGTTTCACATTTATAGACAATTTTAGTATTCATGACCTTTCAGGTAACAGTTATGTTCTAAACTAAGCAGCTGCTGAATGAAAAGTTCATACGTTAGATCTGGATTTACACTTTTAATAAAAATTAAATAAATAAATACTCACATTTGCATGCTGCCTATTACAAAAACACAATTATTTAACTGACTAATCAAGTATATAAATAAATCACATGGTTTGGTTTAAATAAAATAATAATTTGAAAGCAGCTGCCTTTGTTAGTAAGTAAAAAGGAAATCAAATAAAAACATAAATAAAACAATATATTTCACTTTTGTTTTGTTTTTTGTCCTGTGGCTTTAACTTTTTGTGACTTTCCTTTGAACATAGCTTGGCTTTTATCCCAGATGTACACAAACAATGATTAATCATCACTCAAAATAAAAATTGCAGTATTTCTTATGAAGTCTGAAATGACCATATAATCCTCTAGAATTTTCCACATGTTCTGTGGGTGATTTGCAGAAAAGTACAGTGGCAACAGACAGACCATGATCTCAGACATCCCAAACAGAAAAAGTCATCACTGGGAGGAAAATAAACAAGAGAAAAAGAAAAAAGAGGAGCAGAATATCCCTGTGTTTATATTCCTCTGTAACCTTTAACAACTTTTCACGTAGACCTTTTATTTAGTGGTAACTAAACACCTGGTTTAATATGTATGTGATATGAAACTTAAACTAAGCTCTACCTAACTTTACACCCTCACAGTCATCTATACGACGACATTAACATCAACCTTGCAAACAGTGAATTAAGTAGGTTTATGTTGTAGTATTTTTAGCCACTCTCTTCCACGAAACTCCCGGAGACAATGAATTAAGTCATTTCCTCTGGGAGTAAAGCAATTAAAGTCTGCCCATGCTGAAACCCAACTGGTCTTCTTACACACTCTCTCTGCCATGCATTCTTCTTGTTCTAGATCAGGCATGTCCAAACTTTTTTGAAAGAGGGCCAGATTTGATGAAGTGAACACACGTGACATTGTTTGAACCGTTTACATCAAATGCAAATGAACTATGTTTTACTGCAAGGCACATTTTTTAAATTTCATTAACTGGATTTGATCATTATATATTATTGGTAATTTTTGTCGTGTGAGCTTGGCAAATACGTTAGCGTGACTTGACAGGTAGTTTCTCTTGACATTGAATTCCTCATAAACAGGCAGTTGTTGTGTATTTCAGGGTAAACAGATACTGTTTCCAATTGTTTTGGAAGCTGATCCTGGCAGATCAAAAGTGATCCACTCTATGAGATTTGTTCATGGGCTGCAATTGATCCCCATGTCCCCGGACTGTGGACATTCCTGGTCTACAGCCTTACTGCTGAACACTCCAAAAGACTTGGGATGTCTGAGATCTAAAACCAATACAGGTCATCATTCACATCTTCATCATCTTAAAGTATTCTATAAAATAAATGATAACAGGGGGATGGAGGCAACAGAATAGCTCACCAGCAGTAGAGTCCAAAAGAAGAGAAGTCGACGTATGATATGAACACCCCACATATACCAACATATTCACTTGGAATTCATGCATTTAAATACCATCGACAACAGAACTGCAAGTCACCACAGGGAAACTGGAAATGTACATAAACATGGTGATAGCATCATATCAACCACTGTCATCATTTCAACGGGTAACTTGCATTGTTGGGTACACAAGAGCGTGGGTTGAGATCCACAGAAATATGTTAGCATGCTGCATGGTTTGCACTGTCTATCGGAGGCTGGTGATAGCATCATATCAACCACTGTCTATCGGAGGTGAACACTCAGAAGAGAGCGGGGTCAACTACACTAGAAAAGACGGGGAAAAGAAAAGGGAGGGAAAAAACAAACAAACACCAAAGGGTGTAATTAAAAACACCCACTGCTCTCTCTTGGTGGGAGACACGTGGCTCTGATTGTTCAGTTCACTCAGGCGGGTTGAGTCGTGCAGAAACAACAGCTACTAGTAATAAGAACAGCTATGGCAGTGTATTAGTGCCACATGAGAGTTTGTCAATGTCAATTCTGAGGTTAAATATTGTCATCATTCAATAAGTTTTATTTCCTGACAGTGAAAATATTAATTATTAATATTAATATTTCATACTCTGATATGTTTTCTCTTAATACAGGGAGTACTGTAGAAGCTCTTATTAAATGTAAAAATATAACAATAATTTAAAGTATTTGATGCAACAGTATTATTTTTACTGATAAATGATTGTATGTAAGAATAACGTTAAATCATTAAGATATAAATTCGATTTATCTGACACTTGATTTCTGTATATTTCTGTGTGGCAGCAATACACTTCCATATAGTACATATATATATATATATATATAAGAGTCATGCTTGTCATTAGAAAAGAAAGAGAAGAAGGAGATTAGAATACTGATTATTCATACTGATACTGTACAGTTGAAAAAGCACAAACACAGACTGCAGCCATAATGATAATAATATTAATTAATAATAATAACAATAATAATAATGATAACAATCACCTAAGTATCAATAATAATGCTAACGGGAAGGAACAGTAAGGTTGTTGGGAGGGGAAACCTTCAACAGGAGCGAGGCACGCTGGAGAGCCGGGTGGAGGAGAGGAGGATCCCAGGACTGACAGAAGCCAGGACGCAGGCTGAACAGTTAGTTTTTATCAGCTGACTGACGGTTGATCAGCGGCGCTGTCTGAATCCAAGGTTGTAGTTGAGACAGAGACAGAGAGAGAGAGAGAGAGAGAGAGAGAGAGAGAGAGATGAGCGAGGTGGGTATGCAGAGTATAAGGGGCCCAGGTTCCTGAAGTCAGACTCCTTGGACTCCTTCTACTCAGCCTCCATCTACCTCTGCCCTTCTCTACCACTCACTCCACCTTCTTTTGATTATCCATTGATTTTCATTTTCTTCTTTTGCCTCCTTGGTGCTCACATACCTAAAGAAAGAAAGGTTTTTGTTTATTGGCTTCTTTTCTGGAAAGTCCAAAACACACTAACAGAAACTGAACTCATCAGCAGCAGATGTTGAAGGGCTCAGCTGGTCACTACCAGAGGCAGCCTTAGATGTACGTATATGATGTATCTTTACACTCCCTGGTTGTTCTGTAAATGTGGCAGTAGTAGATAACAGGGTTTTACCAACTGTACCCCATCAAAAGAGGACTTCATTTATCCTACCCTGGGGCAATCGTTGTAATAATAGCAGATCTGCTGCAACAGGCTGCCCAACAAGAGTCACCAAGAATGTGGGTTCTTCTGGGGCTCGGACCCAGGACCTTTTGCATGTAAGGCAGATGTGTAAGCAGGCGTGATAACCACTACACCCTGGAACCACCACGAAAAACATGTGATTTTAAGGCTTGTATATCCATGACTCGGTTATTATTCATATTCACTAGTGGAGTGTTTCACAACCTGTTCTCAGCCACAGCAGATGTTTTACATCACAAAAATCCCACCACGAAACCCAAACAATTATGTCCCAAAAAGTAAATGTAACGAAATAATCTTCTTATTTGCTTCTTATAACCCAGAGCCTGTTTAGTTGAACACAGTGCTGTCATATTCACAGAAACTGAAGAAAGCCATACAAGCAGATGTATAAAAGCTGAGTCTCTTTTGTTTTTATTTTTATACCTATCTGCTACCACCTAGTGGACGGGTGGACGAGGTTGTCTCTGTCGCAATAACAATAATGACAGACAAATTATTTAAATTTCACTAAATAATAGTTTTCAGACCAATGAAGTAAAATGTAATCCAGTGGTTGTGAATCATTGCCCTGGTGCAGTGAGTGAAACAAAGCAAAGAGTTTTGAAAGAAAGTTTTTCAGGTTTTTCCACAGCGCTCTCGTGCATGAGTGTGTGTACAGTTTTTCTTTTGGTGGTTTTTATACCTCATCCCTGCAGTGGGGCGGCAGGAGCTCCTGAGCAGTGGAAGTGAACATTTTGCCAACGACTGTCCCTACGGTGCCACACTCTAGTTTCTTCTGATTGGCTGGAACGAGGCCGGCCCTGCCCGTCCACAAACTGTGTCAGGCGGATGTAGGCAATGCAGGCAGCATCTTCTCCAATCATGTGCACGTGAGGGTTGAGGATGGTGGTGTGAATGGGTTTGCTGTTCTTAGACAGGACTGATGGGAGAGAAACAGGGTCACGATGTGGCTTTAGAATTCACCAGTCTTCATTAGGTATATTAAATTAAAAAAACAACTCACGATTGTCAAAATAAAATCTGTGGAAGTCCATTCCCTCCACCAGATTACCAAGACCCTCGGGCTCAAACGAGGTCAGACCAGGGTCACAGATCTTCCTGTAGAAAAGGATTAAAGAAGGAAATATTTGGCCACACCTTAACTATAAGATAGGCTCAAAGATGGCAGCTGTTGCATGCTGAAACATATCCAACAAATATTTTTCACGACTCTGTCAAAAGTTATTTTGCTCAGGCTTTGGTCTAGTGGCAAAAGGAACAGGCTTCACAGTTTTGAGGTTTGTTGATCGAACACCAGAAATTCACAAAAAAACCCACTGTGCCTCATAACAGTTGTCTTTTTGTTAAACCCAAGTGGCAGATTTTTTTTTCAACTTCAATACATTCAGTCATCTTTTCATGCTGAGTTTAACTTGTTGGACAGTAACATTCACTGACATTCTGTTTTTAGGTCAATGGAAAAATGGATTTCGATCTTTAACTTTATGGCTGTGTAAATAATTGACTTTGTAACTGTTGGTCCATTACCACCACAAGCCTCGACTCCTCCATCTGCCAGGCATTAATCTTAATTGTGCGGTAGGGAGTGAGTGGGCTGGGGAGGGTGGGGGTAAGGGGATAAAACAATGGCTGTAATTACTCTTTAATCTTTAAATACAAAGGCAGAGCACACTTGCACTTTGTTGGGATTATGGCTGATGGATATATTGTTAAAGATCATACATTACAGTCTTAAAGTCTACGCCTGTAAATGTAATAAATGCCACGGTGATGAAGTACAGGTGGCGTACTCACGCGTAAGCCTCAAAGTCTCCGTTGTTGACTGCCTCGATGAGCTGCTCTGTGATCTTTATGATCTCCTGTTTTCGGGCTGTGGAGATAAAACACAGCGTTGGAGAACAGGTGGACACATTTAACTTTAATTTGTCCCGACTGAAGCCAGCAAGTGGTTTCTTTAGGATGAAACCCATTCACAAAGTGACAAAGGACAAAACGGCACCTGAGAGCTTCTTGCTCATGTTCATCACCTCTCCGTCATCTCAGTGTCTCTCAGTGAAAGCTTCTCCGTAAGTCGCGTAGATTCTCTTTAACCCACAGTAAAGACCAACATCTTCTTGTTTGCACATCCCAAATATTAACAAAATAAACTGAAGTGCTCCTTCCTTCTACAGTATGTAGCTTTACTCAGTCACTCTCCAAATCTCTATCCATGGTCCATCATATCTGCTGGTTGCATGTCAGGCAGCTGGAACTCATCCTGCTATTCTTGGCCTAGCTCTTTATCAGATTTACCATGTCCTCTTCCCCTTGTATCCTCAGTGCACTAAAAGGAAGGCTTAGCTCGCTCTGATTCTCTCTCTCTCTCTCTCTCGTGTCCTGCCACTCTCTAACAGAGATCCCAACCTACAAAAGTAATTTCCGGGAGACCAAACACCGCCTCCCTCCACCCACTCCCCCTCCCCACATAAAAAAAAGTATAGCAGATTTGCATGTCAACAAAAAATATTTTGATTACTTTTTCTCTTAGTGACTTCTTTACTACTTTACATATTACACTCTTAATAAAAATAACTTAAGTGTAGATTTTCGATCATGTGCACATAAAATGACAAGTGTTGAACTCCTCTACCTGCCTTCTAGAGTGATTTGCTCATTCCTGATTGGTTACTGGTCTAAAATAGCCAATCAAGATGCTCCATGTCAGTGGTTCCTAAACTGCTTTGCAGCATCGCTCTTTTACAGATCAGACCTAAAGTCACTATATTTAAATAAATAAATATATTTTACCATATATATGTTTATATATATGGCATATAGCTATATATATATATATATATTCGTGTTTTGAAGTAACTTGTCCAACACAGATCGTTGGCCTGTGAATATGCACAGCTGCGGTGTTTTTATAGTTATTGTTTAATTCTAACGACTGTGTATCTGTTGTGACTTCACGGCCGTGTGTGTCGCTCCTACCTTTCATGTCTTCATCCTCGATGGTTGTGTTGCTGCTGTCTGTGGATTCCTGTAAAAAGAGCATTGCTAAAAACATGTATATGAATTGAGGTGTTTTTTTTTTTGTTTTTTTTACGTAAGCATACAGATCTATAAACATCGGTACACACAGCATAAACACACACTATTACACTGTTTTAAATCCATGCACAGTTAGCTGGCTTTAATTTTGTTTGTGCTAGATTCACTGTGCAACACCACAGATTTACCAAAAGACTCAGCAGAACGGTGGCTTAATCCCAGGTGTGGATTGAACCAAACCAGTAAAGATGGTCACAAGTCACTGTACAGCACAGGATGTTGTAGCCATAGAAACTGTCCAGGTGACAGTGGTACGTGGTGAATGGGGATGACAGAAGCACTCAGAGGAAAACAAGACTACTGTGCTCTGTGTACATGAGCACAGAGGCGGAGGAAGGGGTCAGATACCTCTCTATTTGTCCCTCCGACTCCCTCATGCATGAATACACTATACATATATATATATATACTATATATGAATATATATATATATATATAAATACACACTCAAGAAAAACCACAAACCACAAACACGACCTGTACAACAACTGTTTCGTTTTGAACTACAGCACAGATTAATCCAGACTGACGGTAAAGTAGGTTAACAATAGGAATGACAAGAGTAGTAACAGTCAAGAGATGGAGAGATGGGAAAAGAGAGAGGGGTGATGTACCTTGGTCCCATCTATTGGATTATGGATAACAGTAGTCTGAGGTTCCTGGAGGGAGAATGGAGAGAAAGGCCAGAAAGGCAGCGCAGAGAGAAAGGAGTGGTTGAAGTAAATGTATGTCAAGGAGTAAAAGACTGGAATGTTAATGATGACAACATGAAAGTTTGACAAATAAGAAAGGGATGTGAACTACTGGAAACCTTTCTTTCTGACTCTAGTACCATCGACCACTGATTTTTCTGGTAGTTTAAGTTTTTTTAATTTAAATCTCGTTCACTAATACTTAACCTTGTCATAGAACTGAGAGCCAGAATTTTCATAATGATCAGAACATTGGCGCTTTCAGTCAATTTAACAAAAACGTTTTAATCTTTTTGTCATTAATTGGGAATTCAATTGTTTTTACACAAAAAAATATGTGACATTAACAAGTAAATATAAACTATGGAGTTCATTTCTGGTTACTAGTAAACAACAGGGCCTGTTAGTCTCATACTCCATATATAAAATTAATACTTAATTCACAATAACACTGCAGTAACTTAAACACTACCTGGACCCATAATGCATTTCAACAATGCCTAAAGAGGTCCTTTTAGTCAGGAGCCTTCATCATGTTAATTGGGGATAAGCAAACTCTTCAAACTGTCACGTAATGTCGTTAAACGTTGAACTTAAACACCTAATTATTACAATACGTTACAACAATGCTACACAGATCTTTCATCCTCTCTCTCTCTCTCGCTCTCTCTCTCTCTCACACACACACACACACATGAAGACTGACAGACAGAGACACATCACTATATACCAGTGCAGCAGAGGCGATGTTGCCTTTGGGACTGGTGACTATGCTGTTTCTTGTGCTGTTAGTCTGGGGCTGTTCAGGAAACACAAAGTGCTACATTATTTCAGCTGCAACAGTAGAGTATGCTGCTTGTAGGGGAGGTGGGTGAGGGGACGGGGGGTTTGGTGGTAAAAAAAAACAGATAAAAACCACAGACAGCAGCAGAGTAGAGAAGAAAAGATAATGAACACAGTGGGCCAGCGTCCAGGTTTCTCCCACATCCCTGACTGGGATGTTACCAAATTAGACGAAAACCCCTGACTGGGATGTTACCAAATTAGACAAAAACACAACATGTTCACGAGTCGGCAACTGGACCTTGACCTTGATGGCTGACCAAACTGCTTCACCACTGAAAGTCCTCTCTTTGATCGCTTCTTTACCAAACCCATGTCCACAAATGTTTCCTTAAAGTTAAACCACACGTAAACACATTCATACAAACATTAGGAAAATGTTTGAAGAAATGCTTCTCACTGTCAGTCACTCAGTGTCCACTCACTAAGGTCATTCTCATGCTACATAAAGACACAGGTGTTAGTGCTCATGCCTCACAGCAGGAAGGTCAGCAGTTTGATGCCTGGCAGTAACTGATGCTGTTTACAGACCAGAGGGATTTTATGGGATTTGTTTGCCCCGTGTCAAACTCTTTACTGTTATTTAAAAGATTAGATAAAGAACTCACTGACATTATCCTGTTCTTGTCACCACTGTCTCTGTTCTCCAGCCCTAACTTCTCCAAGTCTGTTTTTACTCGTTACTTTTTAATTTGCTGCCGTCTAAAACCAAGCCTCCTGACAGTTGTGGGAAGAGTCGTTTGACTTCCTGTAAAAAGCATCGGTGGATTTTTGAAGGGAGTGCAAAACAACTCTGACATATTAACTGTCTAATAAAGATATTGAAGCTAATGTGAAAGCAAATACATTTCCTGCTCGCTTATGTAACACTCTGTGCTCTCTGCTTTGATTCGATTTTAACCCACCCTACAGGGAAATACCAAACGTTTTAACTGCTGCATGTTCCACTTACTTTACTGGCTTGTAGCCAACTGGGTATGTCTTTGTCATCAGCTCGGGTGGCTAGTGCTACTGATGGAAATGATGGAGGTTATATAAAGATGTCACAATGAGTTTGCTTCATGAGATGCTAATTGGCTAGGCTAATTCAGTACCGTTTTGGTAAAGATGTGTGGATAATTATCATCCAAATAATCTTTTCAAATGTCCCTAACTTATTGTAGTTAAATAAGTA